TTTAATTTCAAAGGGAACAACTCATATAACAAACAAAGAAATGTCCCCAGACATATCCTGGAAGACACAAGAAAACTTGTCCGACCATCCTTTATCTTTTTACTTTTGCTACTTGACTGTACTTAGCACAGTTTAAAACACACACACACACACACACACACACACACACACACACACACACACAAATTTGGCTGAATCAAGAAAAAAATGAAATCGCATAATTAGTCCAGAAATTGGCAAACAACTTACTTTTAAAGTCAGAGTGTTACAACAAAAGCCCTGTGTATAAAAACAGATGTTAATGCCTTCAGATTTGCAGGTATAGCACACATGTACGAGATCAGAAGGAACTGCACCAACAGATGGAAAAGATCATCTTTACTATGAACAAATCCAAAGATTTTGAAAAACGAACTGAGAAAAAAAGTTGTATTTCTTTGTAGAAACTGTACTTTTAGAATATTAGGAACCAGAAGGGCTTCATTTAACTCAGAAAATTTTCATCTAAACTTTGATCCATTGCAAGGCAAAATGAGTTTCATATTAAAATTAATTCAAACTTTTAAAAATAAAGGCATACAATGCTGAACTAAAACTCAAAAGCTTTACAGGTTCAACTTTTTTTAAAAAACCTTTTTAGAAAAAGAGAAACTATTTTTTTTCCCCTGGTTCTGCCTTACCTCAGCCAACAGAAAATACTTTGTTTCAATATAATTTGATATATTGGTGTTTTCCCACTAGCTTCTATTCTTGCAAATACTCATCACTGCCCTCCTTTTCTGATGAGGAAAAGTGAAATGGAGGGAGGGGAAAGGCAAAGATGTACAAAGGGTCAGAATTCAACTGCAGTGGGTAAACTCCTCAAAAATAAAGAGGACCCAACTTCCCCTTCCCCGTGACCAGAAGCAAGGCTCCACACCATCCATCTCAGCAAGTGCATTTTGGGAATAGATACACTTAATTGAATATTCAGAAATTACTTCCCTTCTTCCTCCTCTTCTACACTTTGCGCAAGATAGACTAAAAGTTTATCCTAACCCCAAACACATTCTGCAAGATGCCACTGCTAGAATAAACTAAGATTTACAATACAATCACTTTAAGTGCCCCGCAGCTAACATCAATCCTAATCCTTGAGAGGGCTAAAAATAAAGATTGGAGGGCAGCTCACAAGGTAGCCGTGATCAAATTAGGAGGCTGAGAGGACAGAGAGGGACGAAGAAGGAAGCTTATAAACATCTGATCCAGCTGACTGTGGCCATATGGCAGCTGCTGCCCAGATAAAGAGATTAAGAATAGAGGAGTGCGATTACAGCTGTCTGGCCAATTCAGGCAGCTCAAATCTACAAGTTCTAAATTAGTCGCTAACACAAAAACTCCTGCAAATAATTATTGTTATGCTGAAATAAAAGATCTCTTAAATATATATTTGAAAGAGAAATGAGGAAACCAGTCAAACTATTCTACTGGGGACAAAAGTCTTTTTTTTCTTCTTCTTCTGCTTCTTAAAAAACCTTCAGTTTCAAAAGCACTACAGCTGTATGTTTCAGTAGTGCTGCTGAATGTTTTGAAGAATAAAGTTTCACAGTGGAATTAATTACACAACAATCTAGCTTCTTAACTAGAATAATCTTCTCATATAAGTTTGAATGCTGGATTCCAGACAGTTTACTATTTCCCCACCACCACCCCAATCAAATCTAAATAGCAGTGAACAAAAAAGCATTTTAATCCAACGTGATTTTCAAAAGCAATATTTCAAAGCCTTTCTTAGCATTTCCAAACTTGAAATATTTCTGTGTATTAAAGTTATTTATTCGCTCAAGTAAAAGGGATAAAAAATTAAAACTCAACAAGCTCAAGACTCTCAACTCCAGTAAGATGTTCATTTAATACTCAATTTCATATATTATTCCTAAACTGGGTTAGAAAAGTAATGTGATTTTTTAAATTAAATAAACAAAACACCAAAACAGAAATATGCTCCATCTAATCTCTTGCTACTCCTACCTTTAGGACACATAAACCTGATTAAGTCCTTTCCTCTGAGTCCTGCTGGCTCCAGGTCTGTTACATCGGTGGAAAAAAAGCAGACTAAGAGAGACAGATGCAAAGTGGAGATGATGTTAGAGAGGAATGAGATACCTTCTCCACCACAGATCCGCACACACTAACTCCCTGTCTGTGTGTTAGAATAAAAGGCTGAGGGATGGCAGGCTGTCAGCTGCTCTGACATCATGTTCAGATGGAAATGCTACCTCCAGCTGTGCTCCTTTTAATGCCATATGCTACTCCTCTACACTCCTGCCACCAGCTTTTTCTTAGGAGAACTTTTCTCTTCTGTTAGTATAAACAAAATACTTCAAAGTCTTCCTTTTTTTCCAAACTTTCTAACAGAAGAAATTGAAAAACTCAGCATATGGAGTTCTACTGTATTTATGGAATAGCAACACTTCTGTCTTAAGTTGGTGGACTGGCTTACATACTGACAGCATACTCAAGCCACGGTGCTATTCAGGAAATCCAGATTCACTTTTATTTAACTCCAACGTTTAGTTTCTTAGGGATATTTTTAAACCAACCCATTTGACATCTCCAGTCCCATTTCAACATTATTGCCGCACTTTTTTTTTTTCTGCTGAGATAATGGTATACATGTCTCAAATGTTGGCAGACTTGTTCAGAACTATTACTTCATACTGGTTCACCTTATTATTTCCCTCTTATTTAACTACTTGTCTACAACCACCTTCTCGGTAAAATTTCTTACACTGCCACAGTTAATGCAAATTTCAATTCTCAGTACCAACAAGCTGAAACTGCACTTTCTAAAATCCTGGAAAGTACTTCAGTTCAATGAGACTAATTAATAAACTGATACAACCTGCTACAGTCACTTAAAATGAAGGCTGCACCTGCATATCTTATCTTTCTGCTCAGAAAAAGCAGAACCTTGCCTTCCCTTTGATCTGTGTCCCTTAACAATCTTTTTTCTTTGCGGGGGGGGGGGGTCCCCTCTGTCATGTTTACGATCACAAGAAAATCTTTGTGTGGGGAGAAGCCGGGTCTAGTAAGTTTGAGAACTTTTTGACCAAAGTTTGTGGTTCTTTTCTAATAGCTGATGAACCTGTAACGCGACCCGGGCTGGGCTGACCGGGGGCCGGGCAGGGTGCTGCGACATCTCTGAATGTCAAATACATCTCCTCAAACTGCTGGGAGGGCGAGGGGTAGAAAAGGAACTGGGGCCTGAGGCGCAAGCGTCCCAGCCCTGGTGATACCCACTTCGTTCCCATTAGGAAGCCGTGGTAGAGAGTTAAAGAGTAACAAAACCCGACGACTCCGTCCTGTCCTTCTCGCTTCCCCAAAGTCACAAACCTAACTTTCTCCAACTTCGCGGTGAGTGACATAATTCTGAACGCTTAGTCCAGGAGTCATCCTTGGGAGATCCACGTATTCCCAGGCACACCACCTCTTCTCCACAAATGCCCTCGCCCCATTCCAATATATCAGACATTAATCACCCCATTTACCCAGTGGGGTGGGGGGTGAGTGACAGTTTAATGAGCCCCAAGCACCGCAACGGGCCAGAGACTCCCACTCCACAAATCGACCCCTTCCCGTCTCGCTACCGCGGATCCACAGAGGTTCTGCGAGGTTGGGGTTTTGTTTTTCAAAGAGGTGGGGGCGGGGGTGCCGAGCGGGGCAGCAATGCAAATCTTTACGTAGTTCGCCGTGCATTAAACACTCGGGAAAGAGGAAGGTTAAAAACCACAGGGAAGGAGGCGGAGGGCGCAGAGCCGGTGCAGCAGGAAAACACCTTCAGCAACAGCGGAGAGCACAGACCCGGGTCACGGCAACAACAAAAGAAAAGTCGTAAGAAGCAGCCGGCGGGAGGAGGGTGGCTGCCAGCGCTCCCCCGACGCCGCGGCGCGCGACCCCCGGGCCTCCGGGCCACGGCACCCGCCCGGGCGCGCCCCTCCCCCGCGCCCCCTCCCCCGGGCGCCACTGCAGCTGCACCGGTCCCCGGAGCCGCGGCCGTCCCGGGCGCCACTGCAGCTGCGGCGGCTCCCGAGCCCCCTCCCCCAGCCCGCCGCCCTCCGCACCCGGGAGGCGCCACCGCAGCTGCACCGGCCGGGAGCCCGCCCCGCGCCGCAGCTGCACCGGCCCGCGGGGGCGCGGCGCGGAGCCGGGAGCCCGCACCCCGCCCGACCCCGCAGCTGCAGCGGCCCCGTCCCCGCGCCCGGGCCTCCCGCAGCTGCGCCGCCCCCCGCCGCCCCAAAGCTCCCGACCACACAAACTAACTCCACTCGCGGGGGCGCACCCGGCCCGGCCCGGCCCGCCCTCCCCTCCGCCCGCGCCGCCCCGCCGGCCGGGGCCGCACAGCTGGCGCCCCCCGCCCGCCGGGGAGCCGGGGCGCAGAGGGGGCGCCGGGGCAGGGGCAGGGGCCGGCGCCGGGACTCACACGGAGCGGCCCTAAGTCACCGCGTCCCCGCCGCCGCCGCCGCGTCCTCCGCCTCCTCCTCCTCCTCCTCCTCCTCCCGGCCGCCGCCGCCGCCGGACTTGGTGGGCTTCCTCCGGCTCTGGCCCCCCTCCCTCCCGGCCCCCCCACCCCCCAATCCCGGCTCCGTCGCCCGCTCCCCCCCGCCCCTCCCTCCCGCTGGCAGCCGGAGGAGCGCGGCGGAGCGAAGAGGGCCCCACTCTCAACGGCTCCCCATGGCAGCAGCCCAGCGGCGGCCGCAGCCTGCCAGACACAGCGAGGGAGCGAGCGAGGGAGCGAGCGCGGAGCCGCCGGGCGGGTGGGGGGGCGGCGCGGGGGGGCGGCGCGGGGGAGGGGGAGGGGAGGGGGCGGGAGGACGCACCACGCACGCACGCGGCGGCGCCGGCCAGATGTTCCCCCCTCGGTCCGCCCCTCTCCTTCCCCGGCCTCCCTCCCTCCGGGCGTTGGACTTCTGCGATTGACCGAAAGCGGCTGGACCGGCGCTCCCCGCCCGCCCCCGGGCCTCAGACTCCTCCAATGGGAGGGCGGCTCTCCGAGAAGGCGGAGGGGGTGGCGGGCAGTCGTCGGACTGACAAGGGGGCCCAGCCAATGGGGGCGGCGAGCCGGAGCTGCCCTCCCGCGCGTGCCAATCGCAGGCGGCAACTGTTGGGGTGGGCGGAGCTCGGGCGGGCGGGGGCCCGGAGCGGAGCGGCGCGGGGCGGAGTCCTCGGGCGCAGCGGCGGTGGCAGCGGCGGCGCCCCTCTGGGTGACTTGGCCGTGAGAAAGTGAAAGGAGCCCGCAGGCGGCGGCGACAGCTGCGCTGGGAGGGGCTTGTTTCCAGGCTCGGAGGCCCCGCGCACTCTGGGGGCGCGGAGCGAGCCTTTTGGTGTGCACCTTGACAACCACAAATACACTTTTAAACGTAGTGGGGCTTGGCCGCCGCGAGTTGCGCAGGTGTCCCGGAGAGGCAGGGCACCCGGGGACACGCAGGGCTCCAGGCCGGCTTCGGCTGTCTCTCCCTGCTCCCTCCTGCGGGGCGACGGCGCCCGGGTCCTGGGCTGCCCGTGCGCGGGGTAGCGGGACCGAGGAACGCTCTCGCTCGTCCTGCGGCGTCCCGCGCCCAGGTGCACATCGGGGCGCTGGGGACGCGAGCAACTCGGGCACAGTTTCTGGGAGTCGTTCTGACGTCATCGTGTCACGGGCAGAGCGGGGCAGGGCGCCTGCCTTTCTCGCGAAACGCTCCCGTCCCTTGTATGCTTACACTGTTGCAAGACATCCCCGAGTGACCAAATTTTAGAGCATTGCAGTAAAATTGGTACTTGCAGACGCCCTAGCTTGATTCCTTAATTGGTACGTATGTAGCCACAACTTTAAACTACCGAGGGAAGATGGAAGGCTGCTGTGTCGCTTTTCCTTCCCCTCGAAGAAACTTTCACTCGGTACCTGTTCTTGGCGATTAAACTGCATTAATCACGGCCACAGAGACGCGTGGGAATGTCTGCCGTCAAGAAACTGGAAATCGTGTTGAGGCAAGAATTACAAGTAAAAAGTTGAATAACAAGTGGTGGGGGAGCAGGAATGGCTCAAGAAAAGAAAATAGAAAAAAAACAAAACTGCATAGTGAGGAAGTCAGTCCACTAGTCATTGTCTAATGAAATGTGTTTATTCTTTGCTAACAGAACCCAGACTGGCAAGCCTGTTGCTAACCAACTTGCCAGGAGACCTTTCAACTGGGCAAAATGTGCTTTCACTTTGTTCCAGGTCAAATGGGTAAAGTAGAAAGTATTGTGTGGACAAATCAGACATGTTGAATTGCTAATGAAGTAAAAACAGGAGCACACAAAATTCCTGGAACTGAAATAACTCTGGGATATCTTGTTAGAAACAGTAGTGATGTGTCTACTTTTTCCTCAACCCTCTACACCCTCATGATTCACTACTGAGGTCAAGGATATCTTATGAGAACTACAGTTTTTGTATTCCATGAAGTCTGTTTTATCTGTGCTTTCGATGAATTCTGGGTCTTTTCAGTCTGGTGATAGAAGGCCCAATTTCCATCTGACCTGTTTCAAGGTAGAGAAATTTATAAATGCTATTCACGGATGAAATATACAGGCACACAAAATGAGATGTGAAAAGTCCATGTTTTACCAATAAATTCAGGGAAAAAGAAATTTGGCGTTATCAAAGCTGTTTCTCATCTACTAAAAGTTAAAAATAGAGTGACAGATGTCTAGATGAGTAGACATAAAGTAATTGATAGTCTCAGGATATTAAACAACTCATGAAAATATTAGGACACTCAGATTATCTACAGAAAGCTTAAGAAACTCAGCTCTACGGCATCTAGAGCCAGGGTGTAGCTCTAACAAAATGTTTTGTAGAATGTACCTACAAGTAGAATAACAGCCCCCAAAGATGTGCAGGAGAAAACATTGATACATCAAAAGTTGTAACCATTTTGTGTGTGTGTGTGTGTGTGTGTGTGTGTGTGTGTGTGTGTCCCTAATAGTCATCCCTAGAATCCATTTTGGGAACTGAGCAGTGTGGCCAGAAAATACAGATTAAATGCATACTTAAGGAAGCAAATCTGTTGCCCCTCAATTGCTACAACCATTTTATCTAGAGTCCCGTAGTGTGACTGCATTTCATGCCCTTTTTTTACATTTGAAAAAATTGTTTTTACTCTCTTTGTTTTAAAGTGTCCTATAAACTTACTGTACAGATGATACTTTTAATCCTTTGGAAAGTTATCACCATGAAAATTTAAGTAAAAACAGGCTGATATCAGAGAGAGCATAATATAGAATGATTACTGTTTTTTATTTAATACCCATTGGAACCATGGAAGGTAATAAGTCAAAGTGTAAATATCCCCCTCAATTAAGCACCTTGTCAAAGTAGGGTGTTTACCACTGTATAATAGACTTAGCATATTACCATGATACAAAGACACTTGACAGAGTTTTGTGGTTTGTTTTTGGTTTTTTTAGCCAATAATCTATCCTTCTCCCCCACCCCCCACAGTGGGGGGAAAAGGGGCAAAAAGTATACATTCTCAGCTCTTGGGAAAAGCTACCATGGTCCTCCCTGGAGGAACCCAGTCCTGTAAAGTTCCAGTTAATCCATACTTTTCCAGGAGTCCTGAAATTAAAAGTGACACAAATGAATCTTTCTTGCCAGGGAACAAGTTTTATGTGCTAATAACACATACATTTCAACTAATAACAATTTAATAGTATAAAATGTTGATGAATCAAATAAAATTGAATTTGATGAGCAATTCCATAAAATGAGTGTCTTTTAAGTGTGAACCACAGCTCAAATCTCGGAAAAACCTCGGTGTTTTTATTACACTTTATGCAGTAGGTCATGTTGAAAAAGTTGTCTCAGAAACTAGTTTTTGGATATTGATATTTTATAAATGTATTAACTTCCTATATGAATGGAAGTTTGTTTTAAAATTAGGGAGGCAAACAATAGTAAAATACCAGGTATTTTAAGGTATTATATTGGTAGTAACTATAAAATCTAACAAAATGTTAAGTAGAGATTAACCTGATTTTGAACCTAGAGAGAAAAAAATACACTAAACTGGAAAGTTTGTTCAAGCTTCTGTTAAGCCTCTCACTTTCAATATCACAGCATACATGAATCTCTATGAACTTCGTTAGACTTTTCTCTCTGTGTGTCTCTGTCCCTTTCTGGCTTTTAAAAATGAACAGGTTGATATTGTCTAAAGGGAGGAGGAAACACTGACACACAGTTGAGATAATGATAAAAAAAAAAAAAAAAAAAAAAAAGGAACAAACCAGAACACACATCACAACAATGAAGTGAATAGGGAGCATGTTTTATATAGCATCATTCTTAAAATACATATTTTATGTATTTATAATTCTCTATAATATATTCTAATCTTATCTATAGAGTATATTCATAATTCTGCAAAGCACATTCTATGTCATATTCCCTGGGTTATAAATTCTGTGATACTTGAATCTATTTATTAAATTCCTAAACTATGGTAAGCCCTGCACTGGAGATAATTCAGCCTGATTCTCAGTCCTGAAGACAGAAACAATCTTATCAGAAACTCTTGAGGAAAAATCCTTAGCAGGTTTGCACCAGGCGTTGGTAGTGTACCAGTGAAAGCAGAATGAGCCTACACCAATGATTCAAACCTTCTGAGGATTAAGGGCAGAGAGGAGCAAAAGATACAGTCTCCCTAAAACTTTTTCCTGTGTAGCCAGTTTGTCGTTGCTCATTGTACATCAGTGCTTTTATAGACAGCACAATGGCTGTAGGAGGCCAATAGTTCAGGCTTGGTTGGGACTAAGGCCACTTTAGAGAATTTAGGTTAAAAGCAAAGAGGTATTTCAGTAGCCACCCAACTCACAACCCTCTTCTCCTTCTCTCTCTCTCTCTCTCCCCCCTCTATCTCCTTCAGGCTTCCCATAAAATACATTATACCGTATAGCACATGGAAAAAAAATTGCACACAATGATGGCTTTTATAGTTAACTTTGTGCTATAAATATATTCATCATTCACTTTGTATATAATCCCAGGCCTCTTGAACCCTAGGCTGGCTGGCTTTCTTGCGCCACAGAATGCCTTCATGTCATTCACTGGTGGGAGTTCAATCCGTTAAAAATTATTTAAAGGCTATCCCAAACAAAACACATTTCTAAAGACACGTCTGCTGTCCTTAAAAATCACATGCTTTTGAATACCAGATGTTGGAGTTTATCTGTTGTGTTGAAGGCTGCATTACTTTGGATAATTGAAAGATGCACTCATTTTACCTGTGGGCTTTTTAAGATTTACCGTTTAAAATAACCCAACTAAACATGACTTTCAGATGAGTAAATTCTGTTAAAGAAAGATTTAATATGAACCTATGATATTCATAACCCCCCTTCAATAATGTAAATCTTCAAGGTATTAATTGTGCTAAAATATTGCACAATATTAGTAAGCAGAAGTTGTTTTGTTCAAAATGAGAGAATAAAACTTCTAAATTTTTGAATGCTAATATTTTTTCTTCTTTTAAGTTGCTTAAATTAGAGTTTGTAGAATTCGGTTTGCAAATGAACTTAGAAAAGATGAAATGAAGAGAACAAGAGGGGTTACCAGGAAATATTAATTGCACACCTACTGTGCGTTTGCTGCTGTGCTTTGGACCCCAAGATAGAAATAGCATCTGTCTGCATTCTTGTACAGGGAGAAATTTTTCCTTTCTTCTGTGCTTGCTCCACTGTTGAATGCAGCACCTTCTTGGATTTAAACCAGCAGAAGGGAGAATGATACATCTAGAAATTATTTACTGAGAACTTACTATATGTTAGAGAAACAGGAAATGCATTATCATGGTTCTTGTTAGATTTCCACCATGTGCTAGGTGCCAACAATACATGAAATAATATTCCCTCTTAGAACTTCATTATGTATAAATGTCATTGTGAATCCAGTGGACAAAGATAAGGTTTCATTTTTCTTTCAGTAACTAATATGTTGCTGATGCCTAATAAGTGTTTACCAATCCTAACTACTGTAATAAGATAAAATTGTCTTAATCAAACTCTGGTTATAAAGAAATTCTATAAATTTAACACAAAAGCCTTGATACATACCAAATTCAAACTATTCTCGGTAATAAGAGCAGACAGAAGGTTAAATCTCACTCCAGAAATTTACTTCACCCTTAGCAATAACATGCAACTCAGGAAGTTACTTCTCTTACAAAGAACTAGCATTTATGCCGAAGACTAAAATGATTATTTTTAAAGTACCCATTTTACAATGCAAATGTGTATCTAAATTAAACTCAGTAAAAATAAGCATTTTAAATTGAAGCTGCAGTAATAGCTTTATGGGAGACAATAGGAAAAGTGGTTCTTGAATATGAACTCAGAGAAAACGCATTTCAAATTCCTTCTGCGGGCCTGGGAGCTTTCTTTGTTCTCTGTCTCTGTACGTTAATGTACTGTCACATGTTTTAACTGAAAACCCATTGCTCTGAAGATCTTTTACACAACTGAGGCTGTTCAGCAAGGTCATGGCAAAAAAAAAAAAAAAAAAAGTTGGGTCCAAAACAAGGAAATTAGACTTACAACTGGTCCACAATGCCACGCCGTACCTTAGCACTTGGGACATGGGACAGATGCAGGAACACAGGCTCACCAAAACACACAGTGACAAGACACTGCGTAACAAAGACACATACACAACTGGTCCACAATGCCACGCCGTACCTTAGCACTTGGGACATGGGACAGATGCAGGAACACAGGCTCACCAAAACACACAGTGACGAGACTGCGTAACAAAGACACATACACAATGGCATTTTAGACAGAGACGAATGACAGACGGAGTAGAGCAGTATATGGGACAATGGCTTTACAGGGGACAGGAGGGCTGTAAAGAATGGTGAGAAGATGGTGACGGTATAGAAGAAAGATAATGGAAGACAGCTAAAGACAAGGAAAGATCCCAGTGGGAAGTGGTGTATGGTAGAGGCCACGGCGGTGGAGATGGTGCTGGTAGGCGTGGCAGTGGCAGCAGAGAGGTGAATGAAGCAGAGATGTTCATACTTCTTCCTGGCCTCTGCTGATTATGCCACTATTTTTTGTCTTGCAAATTATTCTTAAGTAATACTTCATGAAATAGCTAGCCCAAGAGTGAAGAAGACTAGAATATACTCAGTTGGTTTTGCGAGGAGAGCACTTGATAAAAGAATAAGGAATTTAAAAAAATAATAATGTAGGCTATACTCAGTATTTAACTCTTTCCAGACATGAAGTTGCCGCGATTGGGGCAATGTGTGTGTGTGTGTGTGTGTGTGTGTGTGTACTCACGTGAACACTCATATACCTAGGTCACTAGTTTGGCTGGTTTTTCTGGCAAGACCAGATTAATAAGAACTAGATTTTATAGAGTTCATATTAATATAGAGTAAGAATTTCATAGCACATTCATTACATAGTTTTAGGTTGACCTTATGGGGAAATTGTAGGTATGTACTGACATTTCATTGAGGAAGATGAACTATTTGTTAAGCTAACTGATCACATTTCAGAAACAAATTCATTCATTCAACAGCCACTGGACACCTATCATGTGTAAGGCCTGGTTCCAGTGACATCAGCCTCTGTACAACCATTTGGCCTGGCTCATAAGCAGATGCATGAACTAGCGTTGGAAGGAAATACTCTTGAACTACTTTGATAAGGTGAGCCAGGACAATTCCCCATCAAAGACACCCACTCTGGTTTTTGTTTCCTATCTTCCTTGGTGGGTCGTAAGCTCCCTCAGGATGGGGACTCTTTCTATGATAATAGCTGTATCCTTAGCAGCTAGAATGGTGCTTGGCACATAATAAGCATTCAAGAAATATTTCTAGAAAGGGAGGGAGGGAGAGAACAGAAGGAAGTAGGGGAGAGGGTAGAAGAGAAGGAAAAGAGAAGGGAAGGAGGAAAGAAGGGAAGGGAGATAATGAAAAGAAGTAACTTACACCTTTGCATTTGTCCAAGGCCAGCAGGAATAGCAGTGTTTTATATGTTCAACTGCTCCCTTTAAACTTGGGATGAAGGAGAGCTTATTATGTAGGCTACCACAAGAGCATCTGTTTACTTTTTTAGGGTACATTCTGACCCAACCTAGAAATACCCCAGATGGATGTGGTAGAGACTTTACTCCTGGGAGAAGCATAGCAATTCTTTAGTATATGTAAGAGGTATTTCATCCTTGAGGCATTTTAGAGGTGAGTTATTGCTCAAATATCTCTTATAGGTATAAGATGTGCTGTTATTCTCATTACTTGGAGGAGAATGTTGAAATGGAGTGGCTAAGTGACATGTCCAAGGCCCCCAATTAATAATGGTGAGTTGCAGAGATAATTCGTCATCAATTCACTAAGTCATTGTTCCTCAGATATTTAGGCCACTCTGAAATCAAAAGGAAAAACTCCAGTGTTTTAAAACAAATTAGAATCTGCCATCCTTTGAAAACGTACAGTCATTTGGGTCTTTATCCTTGAGGACACCCATGATCTCAATGGAACCACATAAATGAGCTAAAAATATAATGAAAGGAATTATTTCTGACTTTTCAAGTGTAGCTACAGCTACAGAAACATGCTATTGGTGGATATAAATGAAGATACCTCCAAGCAAGAAGTGTTTTCCCTTTCTGTAGGTCCTATTAAGACAGTAGGGTCCTAGGAACAGTACATTTGGTACAAAGGAATTGATAAAATTGTATATATGGGTGCATGCGGGGACTATGAGAGATAAAAGATTATATTTTCATTTGCATGGTTTGCTGGGTTTTATTTGGCAGATACAATAACACGGGCTATGCAGAACCCATAAAGCAAAGTGAGAACAGCAGCTCATTTGGTGGCAGAATGTAATGGTTGTAGCTAAAAGGCTTACATAATTCATCTCAAACCCTTATGCCTATATTTATTATTGTTTAAATGAAAATTAAACTCTTACGGCCATAAGGAGGGATCTGGTCAGACATTTGATTGAGATCCCTTTTTCTTATATAGCTTCTGAGATGATGAGTCTGTGACATTTACAACCAGCTACAGAAATATTCTAGAATGAGCATACTTTACCTAAGTATGTTAGAATGTCATTCCTCAAATCCTGCTTTCCCAAACAACTATAAAACTCCCACAGAATGCGAGTGAGTAGAGGGAGAGGCCTCATTTGTTATTCTGCCTTGGAATTTCTAGTTCAACTCAGGGCAATAGTAAGCTGTGATTAAGAGTTAATGTTTAGTATCAGATAATATTTGGTATAATACTTTAGCAGGGGTGAGGGCTGGAGGAACAACACAAAGGAAGGGCTGAGGCGTATGATATTGGTCCAGACCGTTTCACACAAGTATAATGTATTTTGGTGTTATTTAAAGTATTGTATTATATCACATTGCTAAAAGAATATTTTTAATGTCATGGTTTTTTTTTTTTTTATCACTTTATTCTTATGTTAGAAGAGTGGAAATTTTGACTCTCAATTGTGCATACTCCAGACTATGGATTTAGCTATTTGAGGGGAAGAATTTTTGGGGTTTTTTTTTTTGAAGAATCAGACTTGAAATATAGTTTGTTAAAGAGAAATCTGTACTGTATTATTAAGTGCACATCTGGATAAGGTTTTAAAATATCAATGATTATCACACCAATTTAGAGAAAGTGGAACTGTGTGTCTTAAGACAGGTGTGTAAAGTACAATATTTTTATTTTCTGCAGATCTCACAGAGGTAACTAACAGATATAATATTAATATGTAAACATATAATGTTAAAGTTAACATTAACGCTAGATACAAAAGTTTAGCATTATGGGGCTATTGGAATATTTGTAATTAAATTAGCCTTAAAAGCGATAAATTAAGTCTCAATCATTTTTTAAAATGACCAGCATACCCACTTTATGCAAGTTAAATAGGTACGAAAATAAATAAATAAATACATATGCCCTAAATTTTACTTGCCATGAGTACGTACACATGTGGCTATTTTGGAAACTGGGCTATCCCTTTTGATTTTAGATCTTCTTCATTATTTTTAGGTAAATCAATATGGATATTAAAGTGATTAGCTCAAACTTTCCAAATTTGAAAATTTTATGCCATTCAGGTTATTACTGTATACATACATGAATCAATTTTGGAAGGAAAGAGAAATACAACAAGAAAGTTATTTTAAACCATAATTCAATGCAAGTAAATAACTCATTTTCTAAATAATGAGATAATTGACAGAATTCATTCTGCCTTGGTAGTAAGCCCAAGCTGTTTGTGTGTATGAAAAAGAGAGAGAGAGAAGGCATGAGAAAGAGAGAGAGAAAGCAAAGCTTTAATTGCATGTTCCTCAAGTTTAGTAGGAATAAACTACAAGCAAAAAAAAAAATCAAGAAACATTTAAAAACACATAGAATATTATACATTTTCACTTGAAAATAACAAAAATGTTATTTTCATATATTACAGTCTCACAGATTTTCTCTGTTCAGGAAGGTGTTTCTTTGCTAACTCATATTCGTCTTTCAATCAGCTGGTTTGATGGCCTTCCAGAGGCTGCCGGGAAGATCTGACAAGTGGAAAGAAAAAAGACAAGCAAACCTCGAAGAGCATTTCAGAAAGAAAGAAAAGAAAATATCCAAAGGACTGGGGGGAAGAATGGAGGGAAACAAATAAAATTAGACAAAGTTTTAGAAAGCAAACAATTATTTCAGTTAGTTTCTTTTCTCCCATGCATATTTTTTTAATGGGAAATACGTTCTACTATTTTAACTTTAAAAAAAACCTGCCTTCACTACACTAAAGCAAGGGGCTTAATACGTGGTAAAGATAAATAAATTTCAGTAGCTAAAATCTTGATAGCCAAAGGAGACCGTGCTACTGGGCTGTCACTCCATGGAGTCTGTGGACTTCTGAAGCAAGAGAGTACTAAGAGAACAAATACTTGTTTCCTTTAAAAGACAATCTAGCATGAAGCAGCATCACTTCCAGAATTGCCTATTATCCTATCAAGGCAACTAGTTGTTAGTTTGGTCAGACTAACAACTGGCTAGTTTGTTCACTCTGGTGAACATCCAGCTTCTGTGATGCTAAATGAGAGAATGGAATGACTTCTGTTCCCCCAGCAGCGCCTTCACGCCACGTACCTCCAAAGCTCACCTCCAGCCCAAATGTTTTTCTTTACGCCTTTTGCTTTTGAGTTCTTAAAGCGTGTTATTACTATTATTTATTTTTAGTGTTGCAATCTCCAGCAGTCCTTATTTTCACTCAAAATTACAATACAGGGGACTATGGCCAATGCTATGCAGATGGCCAAATAGATAATAAAGACTCAGTTCATGAATAATATCCACTCAGAAAGAGGACAAAAGCAACAGGAAAAAAGAGCTCAAATTGGACAAAATGTGCGTGCTATATTTAAAAAAAAAACACGCGATCATTGTCAGAGATCATTAAGGGTGCCCTGTAGTTTTAATTATATGCCAGTGGCACCAATTTGATGTGACTGTTTGCTCTTATAGTCAATAAAAAAAGTCATAACTGCCATCAAATTTAAATTTAATTTATTTTCTACACAGCCTTTTCTGTTTTCCTTGTTTTTTTTTTTCTTTTATAACATTAACACTTTTTTTGTTAAAAAATGTGTGAAAGATTAATTTGTAGAATGAGGGTGCACAGCACAGGACAGATGGAGGGGGTGGGACATGACAGTTTTCGTCTGTGGTATCATTTTGTTGTTGCTATTGCAAGTGAGCAAAATAAAGATACCGCTCCTGCGATCCTTTCTTTTGGGGCCCCTCAGATAAGGTGTGTGGCTTTTGCCTCGTGCTGGCCCTGCTGTTTGGGGATGCAGCCACCCTCTACCCTCCACAGCCAGCGGCTTATGAACAGTGTTCATAGCCCGAGAGCACTTTCATTGTAAAATCGCATTTCCATAGAATGCCACCCGACTTTTGTATAAAGCAGAATGAAACACACTTTTTTTGGTAAGCTGACTGTGTTGAAATGAATTAATGATCTATCCTCTCTGAGATCCCGTAATGTAAACCCGAACACATGAAGCAGAAAAGAATTAATTTTTTTTTTTTTTGGCACAGGACAAAAATTCTCACATTCTCACATTCAAGGGGATTTTTTTTTTAATTTATCAAAAATGACGACGTGCAAGTCTCAATTTTTTGCCTTGGAACGGCCCTAATTTACACATAAGTATTGTAGGAGTTTGCTATTGTAAAGGTTCTTATTGAAGAATAAAGCAATTACCACAGAAAATCACTGTCATATGGCACACACAGACATTCTGAGAAAAAGTAAAACTTTGAGAAGAAGGAAAAGGGGAATTCAGGACAGCATGTGGGAGGGAAGATGGGAGTGCTTTTTATGCACAAAGAGATCCATTAACAATATCTTTATCAGTTTCCTTCTTCCTTGTTAACTGAACCAACTTCCAGTGCCCAGAATATGTGAACGTGATTGCAGATAAATGACTGAGGTGGCCAGAGGATGAGTGAGTGCACATGAAAATGGCTGGTGGTTAATTCATGGCAAGACACGATTTGCCTGAAAAAAAAAAAAAAAAACCTTTTCCTCAAACTAGCGCATCTTTCACAGCAAGGTGGTCCCCCACAGTATGTCACGAACCCTCCGGGATGCCTCAGCCTAGAGATCAGTGGGTTCTTGTGGATAGAGTATTTGGTATTCCGGTCATCTTATATGATCACGTTATTTTCCTAATTAGACTGTAGGCTTTCCCAGGGAGGGACTTTGTCTCCGAGCAGAGCACGCTGTAGAAAGCGGTGCTCCCCCAACTGCGTGCTTGGCAAACCGGCTCTATGGGGACCCTGGATGGCTCTGTCGGGGCCAGGCTGAAGGCAGCAGGGCACGGTGATTCGAATCATGGGCTTTGGGGCGGGCCACCTGCAGTTGGCGACAGGCTGCCCCTAGCTATGTAACTATATTTTAATTTATACAAGCCTTAGTTTCCACTTCTGTCAAAACAGGAATGACCATATTAGCGTGCACTTAATTATAGGATTAGCGAGACATTAAGAGATATTCCTTTGTAAAGCATTTAGATGGTGTCAAATGTAAAGCAGTTAACCCTAGTTTTCTAAAGGTCACTTTTTGGATGCTTCTAACACCTGATCACTGAGGGTACTCAAAATCCTAAATCTTTGGTATGAAACATTCTCATTCTGTTACGTTAGGGGGTAGTACGGACAAATACAATGTAGGAATGTACCTGGATAGGTGAGTGGGGAACGAGGGAGAAAGCTAGATACAATTTTAACACCAAATAATATTATATGGGGATGGGGAGTTGTCCTTGATGTCATAGAAAACGGGGAGGAAATTTGGTGTATATATTATGTGCCTTTAAAATAGAATACACAGGAAACATGATAAAGAGAAGTATCTACCACACATCCAATGTAAAGAGAGTTATCTGTTTTATATGTATTCTCCCAGAATGTCTCCACAATTCTATAAAGTAGTAGGTGCTATAGAAATGGAAGGTACAGCAAGTGGGTGTCATTCATTCAAACTCGGCACTGAGAGAAACCGACTCAGCACAGAGAATGTCTATCCCCAAATCCAATACGACAAGCACAAGACGTGTCGTGCTTACATTGAAACAGTAGCAGAGCATGATATATGGACACATGCATGTAATTACTTAAGGCCATGAATCACTTAATGACAGGTATACATTGCTAAGAGATGCATCGTTAGGCAACTTTTGTGTGCACATCACAGATGGCACTCCACAAACCTAGAGGCTGTAGCCTACGACACACCCAGGCCTTGAGGTGTAGCCTGTCGCTCCTAGGCTACAAGCATGTTACTATGCTGAGTAGTATGAGCAATTGTAACACAATGGCAAGTATCTGTATATCTCCACGTAGAAAAAGTACAGTAAAAATAAGGTATAAAAGATTTAAGATGGCACATCAGGCTAGGATACGTACCGTGAATGGAGCCTGCAGGACCGGAAGTTGCTCTGGGTGAATCAATTGCGTGAGGGGAGTCAATGCGAAGGCCTACACGTTACTGTCCACTACTGAAGACTTTACATAAACACTGTACACTTAGGCTACACTCCAGTTATTAAAAAATATTTTTTCTAAAAAATTAGCTGGTGGTGGTGGCGCATGCCTGTAATTCCAGCTACTTGGGAGGCTGAAGCAGGAGAGTCACTCGAACCCAGGAGGCAGAGGTTGCGGTCGAGATCACACCATTGTACTCCAGCCTGGGCAACAAGAGCGAAACTCTGCCTCACCAAAAAAAAAAAAAAAAAAAAAATTTCTCCGCTAGTAAATTAACCTTAGCTTACTCTACTTTTTTACTTGGTAAACTTTTCAATTTTTTTAAACTTTTGCCTGTTTTGGGATGACACTTAACTTAAAGCACAAATATATGTATGTACAGCTGTACAAAAATATTTCTATCCTCATTCTGTAAGCTTTTTTCTGTTTTCAAAATTTGTTTTTTACCTTTTAAACTTTTTTGTTAAACACTGAGACACAAAGACACACATGAGCCTAAGCACACACATGGTCGGGGTCGCCCACTCACCATCTTTCAGCTCCTCACCTTGTCCCAATGGAAGGTCTTCATGGGCAGGAACACACATGGAGCTGTCATCTCCTGTGGTAACAATGTCTTCTTCCAACAGAGGCTGGAGAGCGTGGAGAAACAGGAACCCTTTTACACTGCTGGTGGGAGTGTAAATGAGTTCAACCATTGTGGAAGACAGTGTGGTGATTCCTCAAGGACCTAGAAATAGAAATTCCCTTTGACCCAGCAATCCCATTACTGGATATATGGCCAAAGGATTATAAATCACTCTATTATAAAGACACATGCACACATATGTTCATTGTGGCACTGTTTACAATAGCAAAGACCTAGAACCAACCCAAATGCCCATTGATGATAGAGTGGACAAGGAAAATGTGTCACATATACACCATGGAATACCAGGCAGCCATAAAAAACAATGAGTTTGTGTCCTTTGTAGGAACATGGATGAATCTGGAAATCATCATTCTCAGCAAACTGACACAAGAACAGAAAATCAAACACTGCATGTTCTCACTCATAGGCAGGTGTTGAACAATGAGAACACATGGACACAGGGAGGGGAGCATCGCACACTGGGGTCTGTTGAGGGGGGCTAGGAGAGGGACTGTGGGAGGTGGGGAGGTCGGGAAGGGATAACATGGGAAGAAATGCCAGATATAGGTGATGGGCAGATGGAGGCAGCAAACCACATTGCCATGTATGTACCTATGCAAGAATCCTGCATGATCTGCACATGTAACTCCAGAACCTAAAGTACAATTAAAAAAAAAAAAACAATGTCTTCTTCTGGAACACCTCCTGAAGGGCTGGCCTGAGGCTGTTTTACAGTTAACTTTTTTTAATAAGTAGAAGGAGTACACGCTAAAATATAATGATAAACAGTATAGTATAGTAAAAACATAAATCAATGACATTGTTTAGTATCATTATCAAGTATTATTTATTGTCTGTAATTGCACGTGCTGTACTTTTATACAACTGATAGCACGGGTAGGTTTGTTCATGCATTGCACTCACTGTAAACGTGTGTAATGCATTGTGCTATAATATTACAAAGGATATGTCACCAGTGATAGGAACTTTTCAGCTTATAATCCTATGGGACCATCATATTTGC